TAAAAGTATTAGTAATCATTCTATTACATATATGTATACACACACACACACACACACACACACACACACACACACACATACACGTTTACACACAATCTCTCCCCTGTATTACTTACAAATCACCATATTTAATTCCTTCCAAATATAAAACACTAAGACTATATGCTGTTATTAAACAATTCAATGCCAGAATTTTATACATTTGAATTGTAGCAACCAATGTACATCTTCCTTGTCTAATAATATTTGCAACTACAAATATACATTAATTAAGCATTAGATGAATTAATATAAATTTTATTTGAATGCATTTAAAATTCAATTCTTACTGGCTACAACATTAGAAAGTTTAGATGTGAATGGTGCCGCTACTGATGCATCCCCCAATTTTATGGTAGGCGGTTCATCTTCCATATCAAGAAGCTGTTCTGTAATATTATCAACCTAAATGTTCATGTGCACATATACAATTAATGAAAAATGTGATTTTATAATGACCCTCATGTATAAATATGCAATCTAAACAATATATCACAAAACCTGTGCCTGCGGTAGATTTGGTCTTCTATTATTAGTGTTTTGTTGAAGTTGTTGTGTTATGTTTGGATATAAATGTGCAATTGCTGGTGGTGGCGGCGGCGGCGGCATATTAAATTTGGCTGTGAATTTTAACTGATTTTCATACATATCTTTTAATCGTTGCATTCGTTGATGTTCAGCTATTTTTCTAAGATCTTCTGGTTTACCATCAAGAAGTGCTACTCCAACGTGCGCTTGTTTCAATGCACCAACATCGTTTGTACCATCACCACACATCAATGTTATATATCCTGCTTGTTTAAGTCCAGTTAATATAAATTCCTATTATTCCACAGCAAACATATGTGTTGGTAAAAATTATTAAATATATATGAGCATCTATATCTGTGAAACCATTTATATTTGTTTATACACACACCTTTTGACCAGGTGAAACCCTTGCATAAACCCATGTGTGTTCTAGTAAGTCTTTTACTGATTTTCTATTTTCAAATTGCGCTAATGCTGCTCCTGTCACACATATATCATAATTTTGAAGTATTGTTGGATCAATGTCCTTTAAAGGATCAACTTGTATAATGGTTTTTTCATCGATAGATTTCCAGATAATATCTAATAGATAAAAATAATATTAAATATTTATTAGATACGAATGGATATAGACTCATTTTTTATTACCCCAAAAATATAATTTTACCATCATCGCTAGCTTCATCTTTACGAAGATCCAAAATTAATACTTCACGATTAATGATTTCAACTTCGCGAGCAACATGACATGCTGTCAAAGGATTATCACCAGTAATCATAATAACCTATATTTGTATAATTAAATTTAATAATAATAGTAATAGCAGCAGCAGCAGCAGTAGCAGTAATAATAGCATAAGTAATAACGGGAATAAATACATACCCTGTGTGAAGATTCATTTAACACTTTAATGGTTGAAATTGCATCATCTTTTAATGGACAATCAAAAATAAGAAATCCTGCAAATTTAAGGTCACATTCAACTGATTCACGTGTGAGGTCATTAACCTGTCGTTATATATAGAGGAGTTTTAAAAATAAATAAATATATATAATAATTCAGTGTTTGAAAGTTATAAATTAACAAACAATACCTCTTTAATACTCATGTTATCATTTAAATATTTATATCCTAACGCTAACACTCTATTGCCCCGTCGTGTAAAGAATTTATAAGTATCCTCGTAATCATCAGGTGCATATTCATACATGCTATGAAGAGTTTCAGGTGCTCCTTTGACTGCAACAAAAGTCTTTTTACCACGATTTATATTCAATGTTGAAATACTTGACATACGTTTAAGTTTTGATGAAAATTGAAATCGCCGACAAATTTGTAGTTGGGAACGTTGTTGAAACCGTTGAGATTGATTATTTGCAGGTATAACAGTATCACCTTTCAAAAAAGGAAGATATATGTAAATGTATTTATTATGTGTTAATAAAATTTCAAATGTCAAAATCGCTACCATTTCCAAGCTTCCAATCTAATGCCTCTAAAGTTGCTTTTTCCATAGGATCACCAACGATTCCATCATCTAACTTAACCAATGCATGTGCAGCAGCTAAGGTTTGAATAGTCTCTCTTAAAGCATCTTTTGGATCAGTTAATTCCTTTGGATCATTAGGACTGATATATTAATATATAAATATTAATACGAATGTTTAATATAATTTATTTAAAATTGACAAATAAATAAATATATTTGCATACTGAATACCAGCTATTCCTCTTACAACAAGACTTTCACCAGTCAAAGTTCCCGTTTTATCAAATGCACAAACATCAAGTTTTCCAGCAAATGGAATTCTAAATGGCTCAGTACAATATATTGCTGTTATGGGTTTATAAATCAAACAGTGTTATTAACAATAATTTATTTTTAAATGATAAAAAATAAAGGTTTATAAAATTATAAATTACAAATGTTTATTTTCTTACCATATTTTGCCAATGCTACCAAAGACGTGTTAACAGCCAAAGATAATTCCATGGGCAATTCTGGTGGTACAACTGATGTTATAATTATAATAGAATCATATAATAATTTTGTTTTCTTGCGATTTTTTTCAACACCTAAATTTAAACATGCAAGGAATTATAAATGAATAAATATTATATATTGCTATTATAGTCTCAACATCATTTTAATAATCGTTTTCACCTTTAACGCACACGTATCCAGCAGCTGAAATTGCAAAAACCAACAAGAATAATATAAATAAAAATGTTTCTATATTATTGGCAGATACGTGCTCTGTGCTGTATACCATTGTGCGTACGAGTTTCCCTTGAACAGTGCCAAACCCAGTACGAATGACATATGCAATACATCCATTATCAGGGGCTATACAAAGACAATGCTTTGATTTTAATAATGCTTATAATTTAGAATAAAAATATATATTTCGTAATTTACCTGTTAATGAATCATCAGGTGACGGTGGAGTGACCTGAAGAATTTTGGTACCACCAAATATTATACTATTCTTGTCAATGCCATTCATATCTAAATGATCGCTGCTATCACGAAGTGCTATTGATTCCTAAATTTGAAATGCGATAAAATCATCTATATATAAATACTTAATATTCAAGACAACTAAACTAAGTAAATAAAAGTTAGAATCAAACCTTCAATAACGGTGTTGATTCACCTGAAAGCATAGCTTCATTCACGATACAACTACCATTCAAAAGTACCATGTCACAAGCAATTCCGCTATCTTCCTTACTACGAACTGAACAAAAAATATTTCCACGCAAAAAAGGTGATTAATTAATAATAGATCTATATAAAAAAAAAAAAATCAAATCATATAAAATAATTGTTTACCAACAGATACCAGATCACCCGGTAAAACTTCATCTGAATTAATTGTAATCCATGTGTTGTTACGTCTAACTTGAATAGAATAAGGTTTGATAGACATTGTTCGAAACTCGGCCAAAGTTTTTAATCTCTATAAAAAATATCATGATTTGGGAATATTTCTTATTAAAGCATCTGGTTTGATTTTATGATAATAAATACAAATGGTTTGAATATGACGATGTTTATTACCTGAAAAACAACCGTGGACTCAAATACAACCAACATGAATAGTGTAAATAATGAATAATACCAATAATCATCGATTAACCATAATCCAACACAAAATAGTTGAAAAACGAAGAAAGGAGCAACAGCGTGTTCTTTAAATAGTTCACGAAAAGTTGGTATAGGTATATCAAAACTAAATCAAATAATAATTATTAATTGATATAAATTCTTTACAACCGATAAATTAAAAAATCAATAATTTATATATATATATATATTATATTTGTCTATTTATTTATTTACCGATTTTGTCCGTATTTTTCTAGAGTCAATTTTATATCATCATCAATTACAAATCCTTCGGCATTTTTAAACATTGAAATTGGAGGATTTCCGTCACAAGGATAGCTTAATTTATTAAAAATTTTTTTATCAGGATCCCAAACATATTTTTTCTTTTGAAAAGTAAAAGATATTTCCCCGTTCTAAAAAAAATAGATGGAACCAAATAAATTCAAAATAATGCACGCAACACACACACGTACACACACACACACATGTGTATATCTATACAAACAAGTAAATTAAAAAAGAAAATATGATATCATACATCTGCATGATAAAGATCACACAAGTCTCCTTTTCCTTTATGCAGCGCAGGAATTATTTTAATCGCTTTAGCCTTTTGTATATTGTTTTCCTAATAAAAATAATATTAAAAAGTTTAATTACAATCAATCATAATATACATAACCATAATAAATAGAATTTTACCTTTACACAAGTAAAAAATGCTCTTGCTTGTACGCTCCATTGACAACTCAAAAATACCAATGCATTCATGGTAAACAGACATCCAAAAGTAACAAAAGTCCATTCCTCTGATCCCAAGTACTCTTCATATGCATTTGTATATATATAAAGCCACACAATATATAGACACGTAAAAGGCCATACATAACCATGCCACTTTAATGGTTTCCGTATGTACAAAGCAGAATCTTTAACTGATTTTGAGTTAATAAGCTTCATGGGATAATCTATAAAAAAAAGAAACAGGGTATATATATAAAAGAATTTTAAATCAACTAAATGGCTCGTCAAAATTGATCTTATAAATGCTTGCTATCATAAAAATATAAAAATTTTTTTTTGATCTAATGGTCTCTTTTTTTTGTAAAATTAATAAAATGTCAGATAAGCAATGTGGAATTTAATCATTGGATTTTGAAAAAAAAAACTATAAATGACGTCATCATAATAATCTAAAGTTTCACGAGATCAAGGTGCATAAAATTTATTTTATAAAATACGCAATATTGGTTTTTTTTTCTTTATATGACTTGAATTTGCATTATTTCTTCTTTTACTTTTTTTTTTAGCATTCAATAATTTTTCAATAATTTTTCAATTTCAATTTCCAGCTTCTTTTCTTGTTGTTCGCCCAAATCTCTTAAATAACCTTCCACGGTAAATTTTTTAATTTGCGATTGATTTGATGTTATAATTGGTGATCTTGATAATGTCGGTGATGATAGCAATGTTGGTAATCTTGATAGTATTGGCGAAGTGAAAAATGTTGGTAATTTTGATAGAATTGGTGAAGTGAAAAATGTTGGGGTGGTGATCGTTTCAATAACATCATCATTATTTTCATCCACCATAAAATTATTATAAATAATATCGTCATTACTAACAATATCACAATTGTTAGTGGTATTATTGCTCTTAACTATATCGCCATTACCAATAATAATATTGTCTTTGCTAATAATAATATCCATTGGTTCATCCTGATTCTAATATCCATTTAAAATAACACATAATAATAATAGTGTTATTGTTATACACATTTTAAAGAATTAAAATAACTATTTCAATATATTTACCAAACTAGCATCACCGAATTCATTCAATTTCAGTTTATCTGCAATTTGTTGAGTAGCTTGTGCTTTTGATTTTTTTGATTTTGGTGATTTAGCAAAAAATAAGCAAGTAATAGATCTTTTAGTATTTTCTTTTCTTTAATTTTTAATTAAAAAGAGAGAGAGAGAGAGAGAAATAAGTTAAACCCATTTTTAATTTGTTAAAAATGATTATTTGTTATTATTGAATTAATAATTTTTAAAAATTACTTACACAGGATCATCACCAGGTTCCCATCCTTCTAAACTTATATTGCAATAAGGACAAACTACATTATCATCTCCTTTATACAATGGGTAATAATAGAAACCATCTTTTGCCAACTAAACAATCATAATATGTTTTTGTGTGCATAAATTTATGCGATTTTTAATAAAATAGTCTTTTAATTATTAATCACCTTTTTAACTATCGCAGTCCAGTTTTTTTTTCTTTATGTGGCCACCAATTACCAAAAGTTTTGATTCTAGCATTCTCTAATTTTTTTGATGTTGGCCATTGATTCTTATTGTCCCAATTCAAAGTTGATTCGTTAGCGGTATTGTTATCTTTGTTATTTGGATAATTTCGACACAGAACCCACGGACAATCAGGTGAACTGGCTTGATGTTTCTGGAAAGGATCATCGTCTTTATTCCAACCTTTTTATCGAACAGCCACATATGAAACAAATAACATTATCTAGTGGATGATTTGATCGATCGAAATAAAATCCTGCATGTGCCAACTAAAAAGTTGCGAGTACTTGACGCGTTTTATTTTACTTCCACGAGAGAGAGAGATATATATATTCATGCTTATTTATTTATTAAACACACTAACTGTTTCAGGCGTTGCATTATAATCTGTAATCCATGGGGCTATTTTTTTTTCTTTGCTGTTGTAAAAGTTTTTGTTCTATTATAAGGTATGTGCATATCCATCGTTAAATATTAACTCGTTTTTATTTTGGAAAAAAAAAATAACGAATAAATTTAAATTCACGTGATAGATCATATTTAGGACGCGACTAATAACGTCAAAATAAAGTTTATACTGAACGTCTTCTATTGATGGTTACTAATACCACTACTATGGAATAAAACTAACTGACAAATCAACAAACAAAAATAACAAAACGAACTCGATTATGAGATTTTCGAATTTAAATAAATTCACCGATTAATTAGAATGTGTTTTCTGTATATACTGTGCAATAAATTACATGTAGTGAATCCGTCCGTATCCTTTTTTTTTTAACAAAAACCTTTATTTGTATTGTATGTACAATATTTTAAGAAATTTTCGTAAGAAAAGCTCCAGACCAGAAAAATCGAAAAAGACTCGGAGGGCGAGATATTAATATCAATAGAAATGCGGTGTTGCATTAAACACTATACAAGAAACGCGAGCAAGACCGTACAATAGTAATCGATCCTAGTTGAAGCAGTATAAAAAGGAGTGGGTTTATGGACATTTGCACAGGCTCTGAATGGATTCTTGGAGTATTTTAATAGATCGTTTGATGATTGGGAGAAACACCAGACACGCATAAGGATATTTATAGGACCGTATCTTTTGAATGCAACTAAGAAGACAAACATTATCTTGAATCAAAAATTGAGATTATTTGTGTTATGAATGGTGATTTTGAAACACTAGCTTTGAGAGAAGAGTTTGCGAAATTCATACCATAAACAGAAAAATAGTCATTTGTTTGATGCGATTGTTTTTTTTTTGTACGTAAAAAAAGACAATGAACAAACAGAATTTTCTTGTTCTCTATTACTACTTCTAGAAATAACAAGATCACGAGCCTAAATCTGCTAGCGACTGTACCAATGGTCTGTATCTTTGGGACAAGAAGGTGGCAAATAAAAGACTTCCAGCCACCAATGAATTTTTTCATAGGTCATGATTACCAAGACATATTACAATTCTATGTGGACAAGTTCAATCGAATGATTATATGCGGGGATCATGACATTTATCCGCCAAGGGTGATCTTGATCTCGAAAATTTTCAATACACTCATTCTACTGTACATAGACTAAATTTTATTATTGAAAATTTTTTTTTTGCAATGAATTAATTTCTTAACTCGCCTGCTCATAAAGAATAATCTACTTGCATATCAATATCTCAAACACAGGACAAGCAATTGGTCTCTTTCAATGAAACAAGGAATGGCTAAATGGTAACAAACATCACAATATTAAAATAATAAATTAACCATAACTGCATTTGTTTTGTGACTTTCTTCTCAATAACTGACCACTAGGCCGGTGTGCATTTGCATCATCATTATAGTAACTTAAGGATCTGGGTCGGATTAGACTTTATTACTTTAGGAAAAGGAAGAGTTAGAATGATTGCAATTCAAAATACAAATAAAAACCATCAGATGCCGGATGTCATTATTCGAGAAAGAAAGAAATAATGTTGTTGTTATCAATCTTTTTTAAAAAATATATTTTTGTGTTACAACTTTTTCGCGTCGTATGACCATAAAGTTATTTTGCTCGAGATTTAAATTAACAATAATTGGTTTTTTAAAAATCAACGACTATTTATCAATCATGGCAAAACGACTGGTCGCTCATTATATGATGTTCCGAATGTTGATTATCTGCCAATTTCTTTATTTTATTATTTCATGAACAGAATAAACAAAAGATATGGGTAGTGGGATATTTAATAATAAATTTTTGGAATGATGTCACGCGTATTAAGTAAGATATTTTATTATTATTAGTTTCGATTCATCGTCATTTAATTAATAAATAAATAAAAGAAATAAAATAAAATAAAGAACGAATAAAAGATTTTCAATCTTTTTCTTGATAAAATTAATTGTAAAAACTAAAATATTTTAAATTTGAAATAACAAAATATTATTAATACAGTCAGTATAAAAGTACACTATTATGATACATTTTTGATAATAATAAAATACATTAATAATTATTTTTATCCCATCAACCAACACTTTGACGAAAGTTTACATGCCTTGCATTCATTCTTATCGTGTAGTTGTATGGCAATAGTTTTAAATATTGTGTCAACTATTTCAGCACGTAAAAGTAATGAATGTTTCCCGCCTTCTATCAAAGTTAACTTACAATCGGGCATGTTACTTTCCATCCATTTTACTGCTGACACGGGAATACGATCATCTTTTGTACCATGAAATACATGCACAGGATGATTGATATCTGTATACGAGAATCCAAAAGAGTGTCGTCTTTCAAAACACATCAACAAATCATTGCTTGCTCCTGATAAATTTTCTGCAAATGACGCTTTCAATATCGCCATTCCCAATTGTTGTTTACTCTCAAGACTTGAAATCGGTAATGCCAAAGCGCCCGAATTCCTTTGGCGTGATGGTTTAGTTGAGTAGGGTTGTCTGCCATGAAGCATTTGTTGTAAGGAAATGCCTGCTGTGTTTGTAAATTTCATTACAGGTGTGGGTACATATTTAAGCCACTTGAAATTATTTGCTATTGTTGTACTGACCCATGGACAAACAAGATAAATAGTTCCTTGAAGCCTTTCTGGTATTTTAATAGCACATGCGAGTGCATGTGGTGCACCAGCACTATGTGCCAATATAAAAAATTTATCAATACCAAGAATCTCACAAAGTTCTTCGATAACATCTAGAGAAAAAGTTTATTATATTTATATATATTAAAAAATTAGCGTATATAATATTACTTATGTAATAAATTTTTTCTACTATCATTACTATATAATCTCATTTAATTTTCGTATATATCATTTGCTTTTCCAAGATCTCTCTCTCTCTCTCTCTCTAATAGCATGGATGATATTTATATAAATCGGGATTTGTATATTTTCCAAGGCACCTTACCTGATCAGGACCCTCAAAATTCAACATTACTTAAAACAACGATAATAAAATTTATTTAATGTCATCATTAGAAGTTTTCAAGGGTCCTAAAAAAAAACTAAAGTGCCTATAAAAATTTATTGATATCTTATATATAGGAAAAGCGTATGATATATTGATGATTTATGTGATAAGGGGACCTTTTCTAAACCGGAAATAATTATATATCCACATAGATTGATTGATTGATTGATTGATTGATTGATGAAAATTTTATTCTTTCTATATATGATTATAAAAGATGTAAAAAAATTATTGATTATTAAAAACAAACCTGGCCATTTTAACACATGTTGTTCATTTTCTTTAACGTCATCTGAAAGTCCAACCCCAGGTCGATCAGGACATAACAATCTCAAGCCATAACTAGATGCTAAATCATCAAAAAACGCAATAAAATATCTTACACATCCCATCCCAAGAAAAACAAACACTGGAAATCCATTCCTGTCACCAACTTCAGAAAAACTAACAACTCTTCCTGATTTTAATCTAACACGCTGTGTTAAACGTGGTGCAGCCAAAAAAGCTGTAATGTCTAAAGGTATATATTCATCAGTATCATTTGATGTGATGGATGTACTAGATGGAGGTTGTGATGATGATGAACTGATGGTTGAGCTTGTTGTAGATGAGGAATTAAGAGATGATTGTGATGAAACTGAAGGATGATGATGATGATCTGTGAGTGTGATCGATGGTAGAATTGAAGGTGATTGCAAAGAAGATTCTGAAGGTGGTTGTGACAGTGATTCCGAAGTGGAATTTTGGTATGAGAAATCCTTATTATCTCCTTTAATACTCAAAAATTCTGAGCGAAGAGTTGGGGAAGAGGGAGATCTTGCAATTGTTGGTATTGATTTTGAATGTGATATTAGATCACCAGCTGGACTATTGTTTAAAGTATTATCAATACACAGATTTAATGTATTTAGTTGAGAAGGTTTATTCTTGTTAAATGGAAGTGCTGATTTAGGTCTTTGATTAGGTTTTATCCTAAGAGATGGTAATGTATCAGACTTTTTTTTAGACAATTTATGTTGTGATTTATTGTTGGGAATATTTAACATAGAATTGATATTTAAAGATGATGATTTGTTGTTGTCGTTGTTATCGTTATTAATGTTCTCTGATTTATTATTATCAAAACCTATATTAGATAGTGATCTTCTGATTGTATTTGAAACACTATTAATACTATTAGTGTTGTTTTTCACTGAAGTTTCTAAATTTACTTTATTTTCCAAATCAACTTTCAACATCTAAAAAATATAAAAAGTCAGATTATAAACTTCAAATCATAGAAATTGCCGAGAATTAGAATAGTTGGTTTGGTTTAAAATTTACCATGGCATTAAATTATTTATTTCCTAATAATCTATCTATCTACTATTGTAATTAAAAAGAAAAATAATTAATATTTTTAATTTTTCTCAATATTTTATTAAAATAAAAAAAAGTTACATATTTTATACATTAGGATGAAAATCATGTAGAAATGAAAAATGCAAATAATAATTTTTATTATTAATAATAAAAAGAACGAATTAAATAACCTTAGTGCTGCTGATCCATTTATTTTGTACAAATGCATAAATACGATTGAATTCACGTAACTTTTACTGATTATATTCTTAACAATAAGTAGACCGGGTGAAACCATGCATTCTTATTTATGGAATGTATTTATAGAAGGAAGGCTACACGTGACACTAATAAAAAGGAACTAATGACGAACAAATTCTTTGTTAAAAGATTAATAATAATTGCTGAATAATTTCTTTTGCAAGAGTAATTTAGATTTTATCAAAATCAATATTTTTCTAATGCACATTTATTATTATTTACAGTTACATTTTCATATTAGTCCCTTTTTTGGAACAATATCAAAATAAATAAACCAAATTAAGCCAAAAATATGTGTCTAAAATGAACTGCAGCATCTGCATTAATTCATTAATTCTGTCCTAAACAGGAATTGTTTTTCTTCAAAATAAAAACGGTAATAGTAAGGGTTTCGATAAGTTATTAATTTTGTGATTATGTCAACCAATTTACTTTGCTCTAATTCTTGGTTGAATCTTTGGCCTGTAAATAAACAAACCAAAGCCCCGAACTTGGCCGAAAATTTAAAATTATTTGACATGCACATAAATGTATGTAAGCTTTAAAGATAAAAAAAAAAAAAGAAACTGTTTCAAAAATCAACATTGCCTACTAATTCAAAGAGTCAAGATTTATATATATTACAATCTCAAATAATAAAAGCATCGTTTTTAATAACAATTCGTCGTTGAACGCTTTGCAAACTTTGTATTTAAAAAACTTTGTGAGTTAAATAAAGTTGTTAAAATCAACTCGTTCATATAATAAATAGGGCCGGAAATGGGACGTTAGAAAAAAATGTGAATTTCAAACTTTCCGGGAGGATAAATTTATAATTCTCGGAGGTATAATATATTAATTATATAATAATAATAAAATTTAGGGGAAGGCCTGGATTTTTTCCAGCTCTGAACTCAGATAAACTCGAACACGACATGATTTTGGTTTTTTTTACATATCATAATTTTCAAAACCAAAAACCAAAAAACCAGTATCACATACATAACTACACTCACTGGACATCCATTTTTCACTAATCCCTCAAAATTCCACATAATAAAACTTATGAACTTTGTATCGATATGTAACCTAGGTTTCGGCATCCAGGCACAAATTAAAGAAAAAAACTTTATATCGGTTTTTAGCTTAGGTTCTCAAGATCAAATATGTAATTTTCCGTAATTTTATCCCGTGTAGGAGATTTATAATAATAATACAGTCAAAGCTCGTTAAATTCATACGCGATGAATTTATAATTTTTCGGGAACTAGTGCCACTTTTATTAAAAATTTATTCGATAATTTCATATTTATAGTAATAATAAATCTCGATAATTGGAATAATTCGATAAATTCATAACTCTCTGACTTTTTGTATATGTCAGCATATATGAAATCTCGCTCTTTAAATTCATATAATAAGTAAGTAGCTAATCCCATTCATTTTTCTGAAATCCTATCCTTTTGTAGTAATAATAAAATCTCGACAATTGAAATAATTCGATAAATTCATAAAATTTACTGTGCCGAACCTATGAATTTAACGAGCTTTGACTGTAATAAAAACGATGTTTTGAATTTTTACAAGTGTAATTATCAAAACCTGGGGTACATAGTTCATAATTTTTATTATGTAGAATTTTGAGGGATTGGTGAAAATAGATGTCCAGATATACTTTTGTCCAATGAGTGTACACAATTTAATTTTCAGTTAGGTTCAGCAACTATCCGAATCTGACTCCGAGCTTTAAAACAAACGCGTGAAAAATATTTAATTTTAAGTTTTCGCTTTTCTTTTTCCAATTCCTCTGTTACACTTTTCCTATGTTTTTTGACTGTCTATTTCTATTTCTATTTCTATGGTTACAATCATTCTATTCATCATGGCTTTTGTTTATTTCTATTGTTTCTATTTCCTCTTTTCTTGTGCTCAACAAAATATTTTAAATATTCAAGTTATTAATTAATAAAATCAAACCAATTAAAAAGTAAACGATGTCATCAATTTAATTTAAAACTTTTGCGGAATTCTTTCAATTCATTTTGCTTATTATTATCAGTTTTCGATATTTTACGTAAATTGCCTCACGCCTTTTTCATGAATTCAGCCAGGTATTTGATAAATATCATTTGAGCCTTTTATAATCTTGATTTTTTGCAGAATTTGTATTAATTATCTTAAAAATCCTTCCAGTCAAATTTTGACTGTGCATCGTTCATATCTTATACCTTTTTCTTGAACAGCCTTGACTGCATGAACTTTTGAAAAGTTAATTTAAAGAACATAATGGTCAGTACCATGTCAAATTTTGCATTTTTCTAAAAATAAATATAAAGCCCGTATGATAAGCGGAGATGTCTTTTTTTATATCTTCATCTCCTTTCCTTTTTAACAGCATTTTTAGATAATACTGCATATGGTATCTTTTTTTTATCAAAAAAATATATATTTATTTATTTATTGTTGTTGTTGTTGTTGTTGTTGTTGTTAATACTAGCAGCAATATTAATAACTAGAGAATTGTTTTTATTATCATTTTTATTATATATTATCTGCTGTGGAAGAATCCGCAGTGATTGGTGAGAATTGTTCTTATGTAAAATATCGTTTGCATTTGAATATATCCTATTGATGGCTACTTGACTTGAATTATTGTTTCCAACTAATTGATTATTATTAGGTAATTGTGGTGATGTTAATTTTTTGGAATGGCTTTGTTGAGTGTCAGTTTGAGATTTATCAATGTTTACTGCATTGTTATTCTAAATTGAAAATTAGAATGATAAATTGTCATATAAAACTTGAAATAAATTCATTATTTGCTTGATATAAATAATAATCACCTGTTTTGAAGAAGATCCAGTAGCTGTATATGCAAGATTATTTGAATTAATTACAGGATTTTTAATGGTTGCAGCAGTAGAAAAAGAACAAGTACTGATAAAAGGAGTCAATAAACTGTTATTTGATTTTACTAGTTTATTATTAATTTCCTCTTCCTCATCATCATCTATTATAATTATTTGGTCCTGAAGGGTAAAAAATTTTTTTTAATAAACCGTTACTTGATATAACAATAATTATATTTTATTTATTTATAATTTCGCACCTCTTTAGGTAAAGCAATTTTTGATGACAATGTCAGATTTTTTTCTGCATATTTTCGTTTCAAAACATTTGTCATACGGATTTTGTCATCATTTTGATGCTAATAATAATTAATATGTTAGTAAATAAATAAATTTATTTATTTATCTGTTTATTCATTTAATGCTATAAGAATTTTACCCATATTTTCTCAGAATTCGTCAAAGGTTCAGTATGTTTGGAAGTGTTCAATGAATTAGAATATATGGTTTGTTGTTGAATTAATCCCTCTTTTGATGCTTGAATTTTCATTCAACGAAATTATATGGTCAGTATAACAATGATTTAATAATTTTCCCTGTTCCCTATAAACTAAATTACAGTCTTTCCAACAACATGTGTAATAATATTCCTGTGGCATAATAATTATTGGATTAGAATGTTTTTGATTTATTTCTGCATCCATATATCTATATATTTATGTTATGCGATTATATTTTTTTTTCTGCTTTATGCTTTACAATAAATTAATTCTAGAGGTTTTCATACTATAAAAAGAACGTGTAACATTAATTCTAATACCTAATTAATTCAGGTGATCGATACATTTTGATCTGTGTAACATAAATTATGATTGGTTATCAATGACGCGTATCACGTTAGACGTTAGCGTATATTTTTTTCTGCAATTTTTGACAATCTTCCCTTCTGTTTCCCTATAATGTTGATGATTGGCTTAAAAATTTTCCGTGATACGGAAAATCTTTCCAATAAAAGAAATACGATTATTTAAATTACAGTTGGGATCTTTCCAAATTTGGAGACATTTATACAGCCCAAAGTATTTTGACACTGTCATAAAGGGGTTACACGTGTAGTAAAGGGGTGTTACACTTATGTTTTTAATAGTGAGTGCCGTAATTAATTCCAACATCAGCAAATTTTGAACAAGCATAAATTTGTATAAATTTATAAACTATATAAATACTACATAAAAATTCTATGTAGATTTTGCATAAATGTAATATATGAATATAACCATTGGAATCCATATAAATTCTACATAAAATTTTGTATATTTTTATGTGCATTAAAATTCATAAATTATATGGGGCATACTGCAACAAAATCAGGCAAAAATGAACATTGGTATCACCAAAGATTTCAGGGATCAAAATTTAGTTTACCATCACGATTAGTTTTATAATGTCCCATTTGTTAAGTGATATATAGAACTATCCCTATATATAAAATAATAATATGAAAACTAATTTATATCAGATCCACTATGGAACCCAAGAATTATAGTACTATCAAAAGCATTTTAAAAAAGAAACAAGGTGAAAAAATTGCTCCTTACATTTTCAAAATAAATGATACTCAGACACTTGAAACTTGTCTAAAAAAAGAATGGATTACTTATGAAATTTACCAAGAAGAAAGAAAAAAATTGATGTCAGAAAAAGAAAGCATCATGATGATGTATTATTACCTAATAAAAAGCAAAAATCTTTAAAAGGAAAATAACTACCATTTCTTTGATAGTTGGAATTATACAGAGAGAAATAACCAAAAATTGCTTTCTTATTTTCAATCAAGATCAATAAAAGGCCATTAACTACTAATCACTCAAACCAAATTTTTTATTAATTATTCTAATCTATGTACAGTACCTGGACAAAAGTTTCGGAACACTTGTTTTTGTTAATTGCGCAAAAATGTGCATAATAAACATATATGAAATTTATATCGTTTGCGGTTTAGGTTCTTATGAATATCTATACAAAATCCCATGCGTCTAGGTTCCGTAGAACTCGAATAAATATATAAAAATGAAATTTGATTAAAAAATTTTCTTTGACGATCACTAAATTTCTGATGCGAAATTTTTTATTTTATTACTCAAATTCTATGTAATAATTTTAATTTAAAATTTTAACTACTTTTAATATTTAGTTGGGTATCCTTTGCTCTTTATACAAGCCTGAATTCTTCTAGGCATGCTTTCAATCAAATTCATTAAAACATTTTGAGGAATTTTATTCCATTCCTCTTTTAAAGCAGCCTCAAGTTCTTTAAGATTTCTTAGATTGTTAGGACGACTTCTAATACGTGTTTCTAGCACATGCCAAAGATGCTCAATAGGGTTTAGATCTGGAGATTGGCTTGACCAATTTTTCAATATTTTAATTTCGTTTGTTTTCAACCACTCTTGAACATCTTTAGCAGTATGAACAGGAGCATTATCATCTTGAAATGAATACCCATGCCCATTAAAATCTTTATCAATTAAGAACAGCAAATTTGTTTCCAGTACTTGAATATAATCATGTCGGTTCATTTTGCCATCAACTTTTACCAGTGGTCCTAATCCTTTACCCGAAAAACAACCCCACATCATTATGCCACCACCACCATGTTTTACTGTTGGTCTAAGATTTTCAATATTGAATCTGGTTCCAGGTGTTCTCCAGACATATCCCAGACCATCATTCTTAAATATTGTAAACCTACTCTCATCACTCCAAATGATATTCTTCCACTTTCTTACACTCCAATCTTTTTTTCCTAGGCACCAATTCAAACGTTTTATTCTTTGTTGCTCATTAATCAAAGGTTTAGAAGCAGGAACACGAGCAAATATGTTGATTCCATGTAAACTTCTTCTAATAGTTTTTGTAGAAACATGTAAACCAGTTTCCTGATTAAAATGGTTCTTTATCTGTTCAGCTGATTTACGGTTGTTATGTTTAACAATATTTTTTAATGCTTGTTGATGGTCAGTATTTAAAATTTTTGGACGTCCACTTCTTGGTAAATCTGCCATACTATCTCTTTCTTGAAAATTCTTCACGGTATGACATACTGTTGTGGTGGGAAAGCCAAGTATTTTAGAAATACTTCTATATGAGGCTCCACTTTTATAAAGGCCAACTATTTGTCCGCGTTGAGCTTCAGTTAAATTAGACATTTTTTATTTTTTTTTGAAATTTAAAATTTTGAAAACTTTTTAAGATCTTTTTTTTAAAAAAAAGATCTTAAAAAATATGCGATAAAAATTACTTTTTCAGAATCAGCAAAACTTGGGTTTTCATATACAAAATTTCCAAAACATATTATTATGTAGGTTCTTGGACAATTTCTAAAAACATCATGTGAAAAATTTTTGATTGTCAAAATTTAATCGAATTTCATTTTTATGTATTTATTCGAGTTCTACGGAACCTAGACGCATGGGATTTTGTATAGATATTCTCATAAGGACCTAAATTGCAAATGATATAAATTTCATATATGTTTATTATGTACATTTTTGCGCAATTAATAAAAACAAGTGTTCCGAAACTTTTGTCCAAGTACTGTATGTTAGTGTATGGATTTGTAAAATTAAAAATATTATTATTGTTATTTATTACTACTGCTATTATTGATGCTGTTATTGTTATGCTTATAATGTTTAGAATGAAATATGTATATTATGTATGGATTTGTTTGTTAGGTTTATGGCATTTAATGTTTAAAACCAATGACTTCTAAAGTTAAAATTGTTTCAAATATTACTATATAATACTATTATTACCAGTGTTTTGATCCGAAACTCTGAGTTTAGGGAAAACCCAAAACAGAATCTAACAAAAACCACCCGAAACTAGTTTAGGTTAGTAGTTTATGTTTAGGTTTAGTTTCCTGCTTAGTGTAAGTTCATTTTCCGAACCGTTTCGGGAAGCCAAAAGAGTTTCTGGTCACAACACTGATTATTACTACCACTATTATTGTTATTATTATTATTATTATTTGCTTTATTAATTCCTTTGTTTTTTTCTCCCTCACTCGATTATTTTTTCGATTTTCGATTAAATCGATAATAATAATCGATTGACATCCCTAATACTAATTTGATATAAATCCCCATATAATATATATATATATATATATATATATAAGAATGGTCGAATTTTTTTAACAATAATTTGTTTATTTGTTACTTGTTTTTAGCATAAACAAGTCTACCAATAAAAATGCAAAGTGAGGTTTCGTTTTTTAGATATTATGCATGCTCTGCGAGATCAATATTTTATTTTTAACATCATTAAAGTTACCTTGAGTTTGGACATCTTTGTGTAAAAAGTCACATCACTTGAGTGGGTCAATGCAATAGTCTATTTTATTAATTTGAAAAATATAAGTAGGACCATCGTCTCCACATTTTTTCACAACACCACCAACCAACAAACGTATAGGATATTTTGGCTTAACCATTTATTATTATTATTATTATAGTGATACAACTTTAGAACGCCAATAATGTTACGATCCTTGAATTGAATTCGTTAAACGTAAAATTTATTTTCACAAATAGTAACACAAATTCTTCTATTTTTCAAGAGGGATAATTGTACTAACAAAACATATTAAAATAAACATCACAAAATACTCACTATTGAAAAAGCAATACAGAAGTTGGAATTTTAGATAAATGTATCAAACCATTTACGTCTATACCAACGAGTATATTATTTTAAATGGAAAAATGTAATAACCAATGTATTAGTAATTCTGATGCATTTTTTAACAAAAAATTTTTTTTTTGCAGTTATTCTAATGAAAATACCAGAATATTTGAATAATACATTATATCAACTTGTGGCATATGTTCTGGAGATCCTGCATATAAAGTTTAAATTTTCCAATAAAAATTCGTGATAAGTTTTTTTAATCATTGCTCTAAAGCTTACATGATAACATTGTTTAATATTTTTACATCTGATAAATTAAGATCATCTGATTTTCAAGAAAAAGATTTTTTACACGATTTTGAATGCTTTTTTTTTAACGAATTATTAAAGATTTTGGTAAATTTTAAAAATGAACTTAAATCAAGTTGAACGTGGATAAATTATTGGTCTCTATAGAGGTGGAAATTCAAAAGTCAAAATTAGCAAAATTCTGGAAGGGTGGCCAAGTCAGTCTCCTGACCTAAATCCAATCGAACATTTGTGGAATGAACTAGAGACTCGTTTTCGAAAAAAACCTAGCCAGCAAAAAACTTAAAGGAGTTAGAGGCACTTTTAATTGAAGAATGGGATAAAATTCCAGAAGATGTGTATATGAAATTAATCGAAAGCATGCCTCGTAGAATTGAGGCATGTATTGCAAGTAATGGATGGCCCACGAAATATTAAATTAATAAGAGGTTTAGATCTGTTTAAAATTTACACGTTAATAAAATTGATCTTTCTTCAAAATTTTTTTTTTTTTTCAAAAATAATCAACTTTTTTTTATTTTTTATTGCTTAAGTTCTGGAAAATTT